CCTGCGACTTGGGCCGGCGAAATTATTTTGCGAGCGGGCACGCACGGAGTAGGGCCGGCGAAATTATTTTTGAGGATGTCTCGAGCGAAACGCTTGTTTTTCAGAATTTGTTGAGGATGTCTCGAGCGAGACGCTGGTTTTGCAGAGTTGGGGATGTCTCGAGCGAAACGCTTGGTTTCAGAATTTGTTGAGGATGTCTCGAGCGACACGCTGGTTTTGCAGAGCCGACCGCGACACGGAAAAGCGCCCCTCGCGCAGGAATTCCAAGGATGTCTCGCGCGTGCCGCGTCCCGCGCGCGGGTATTTGGATTTCTTGGGATTTTGACAGGATGTCTCGAGCGAAACGCTTGTTTTTCATAATTTGTTGAGGATGTCTCGAGCGAAACGCTGGTTTTGCAAAATTGGAGGATGTCTCGAGCGGTGGCCTCGTGGGGGGCCAGAATTCAAAGGATGTCTCAGGCGAAATGCTTGTTTTCACGTCCCGCTCGCAGGAATTCCGAGGATGTCTCGCGCGTGCAGCGTCCCGCGCGTAGGAATTCAGATGATTTTGACAGGATGTCTCGAGCGAAACGCTTGTCCCCAGCACGTTCCGTAGCGCGTCCCCTTGGCACGTCCCGCGGTGCGTCCCCCCTGGCACGTCGCTTTGGCGCGTCCCTTGAGACGTTCTGCGTCGCGTCCTCCTGGCATGTTCCCCTGTCCATTAGCTCTGGGGCAGCTACTATGTGTTCAGGCAGCTCGAGCTTAAGATCCAGATCAGTTCGGTCAGGACTCGGATGCAAAGGAGGACTCGATCCACGAGGCTATAGAGCACAATCGCGCCATGGCACATCGCAATTCAGCACGGCGCAGCACAGCACTGATTTCGGCACGGTACATCAAGGTCGATGCACTCAGCATTGCAACTTGGCACGTTCCTTGGCACGTTCCGTGGGGCGTCCTTTGGCGAGTCCCCCTGGCACGTCGCGTCGCGCGTCCCCTGGCACATCCCGTGGCACATCCATTGGCACGTTCCGTAGCGCGTCCCCTTGGCACGTCCCGCGGTGCGACCCCATGGCACGTCCCCTGGCACGTCGCCTGGCGCATCCCTTGGGACGTTTCGCGGCGCGTCCTCCTGGCATGTTCCCCTGTCCATTAGCTCTGGGGCAGCTACTATGTGTTCAGGCAGCTCGAGCTTAAGATCCAGATCAGTTCGGTCAGGACTCGGATGCAAAGGAGGACTCGATCCACGAGGCTATAGAGCACAGTCGCGCCATGGCACATCGCAATTCAGCACGGCGCAGCACAGCACAGCCCTCGGCAGGGTACATCAAGATCGATACCTTCAGTATTGCATTTGCCCGTCACCCAATCAGGTGTCTTTGAAAACGCTGCCATGTGTTACAGTTCTACATTCCTTTCCGGGTTCGTGGGTCGATCATGTTTGGGAGGGTCCCTCGGGGGAGAACCCGCCGACCTCGACATGAGCACTGTGGTTGTGGTTGTGGTCGATTTGGCCGTCGTGGGACGCCACATCGACCACAACCAGTACCAAGCTGGTTTTGGTGTTCTGACGATTGTTCGAGTAGGGGGACGACTGCAGAATGGATTTACCCCAAGCTTGATTTTCTCGTTGGATCTGTGCGCAATGCGTAGCATGTACGTAGATCTACGAGCATTCAACGCCATTCTCATACATTCGACGAGCAACTCGATCCTCGTGTACATCAAGTACTTGTCGACGTGCACCAGACATCCCACAGGGTGTGTCCTCGATGTGGTTGTGGTCGCTTGCTGCCCCGGCAGCAGGACCAGGGCGCTGCTGCGCGCGCACCGCGCGCGCTGGCAGCTCCGCCGCCTGCGCCCCCTCGTGCGCGGCGCGCTGGTGGCCGTGACGCTGCTGGAGGCGCCCCTCTGGTGCAGCGAGGAGGGGGCGCCGAGGTGCCCAGGGGCGCCAGAGCCAGAGGCGTCCTTGGGAGAAGAACAGATCTTCGAATATGGGGGATCGGTTGCAGAATTTGATTTGCCGCTGGCTTGGTTCTCTCCTCGCCTCCACGAGCGCATGCGTGGAATGTTCCGTCGATGTATCAGGATGCTACATCTTTTCGCAGATTCGACGGGGAAACTACTTTTGGGGTGAATCATTTTTTTTCCCACCACACCCATTGGATGAAGGCTCGAACTCGAAATAGGCCAAATCTAAAACATCGCCGGCCGGGTTAACGTCACCCCAGACGGGCTCCGGTCAGACTCCCTCCCCGGGGGCGACAGAGATGCACCACTGGAACTCCTAGAACACTTCGGTCAGGAACCCAACTCCTCTCCTCTCGAGCACAAAAAAAATTGGGGTGAACCAATTCTGTAGTCGATCTTCTACCTGAAGACGGCGTGCGCGCTCCCTTCTGGCGGTCCGTTGCGGTTTTTTCTGGGGCCCGCGCCGTGGCCCCCGTGGGCGGCGCGCCGGAGAGAGAGGGGAGCAGCTGCGCGGGTCCGAGGAGTCCGCGCGGACCTCCGAAGCTTTAAATGACCGCCGTGCAGTTCCCAGGAGGGAAAAAACCACACCGACACGATGAAATCGCCGATCCCCCAGAAAAAAGGTGGGAAGATATGGGAAAGGTCCGCGCGGACCTCCGAGCTTTTCACAAGGGGCACGCGTGCCAAGGATCATACAGTCGCGGAGGCGAGGCAGACGGCAGATGGCAATGGCGCCAGGGTCCGGTAGGGGGGGGGGCAAGCGAGTGCCCCGACAGGCCGGCGACAGACCATAACGAAGGAGCGGCCCCGATGTTTTCTGCATCCTGAAGCCGTTTAATTACCGCCGTGCAGTTTTCAGGAGGAAAAAACACACAGACACAATGAATCGTCGACCCCCCAGAAAATATGAGAAAAAATATGGGAAGCGGGGGGAAGACAAAAACCCAGAAGGCATGGGGAAATATGGGGAGTCTGGTTATTTGTGTCCATCTATTGAATCGCTTCGCTCATTCCGCCGGCCCTGGAGCGCTATTTGGGGCCTCTTGGGGCCGTCTTGGGGGCTTCTTGGGGGCTTCTTGGGAGCGTCTTGGGGCTCCTTGGCGGCGCATTGGGCTCCCCTGGGGCCTCTTGGGGGGCTCTTGAGGGCCCCTTGGGGCGGGACGGGGGGGTAGTCGATTGCGGCCCCCCCCTCGGAGGCCGCGATCCTCGTGAGGGGTGGCGAAAAATAGCCCCCCCCTGGGGATCGCCCGGGGGTCAGCCGGGGATCGGCCGGGGTGCTTTTCGTCCGGGGCCCCCCAGGGGGTTGCCCCGCGCGCGCGAACTAGAAATATTGTTGAGTAGCTACCGGAGATCTTAGCACGCCTCTGGCCCGTTGGGCCGGCGAATTTGTGTGGCCCAGCTCCCCTTCGAAGTTCGCTCTTCCTTCCTCCGAAGCTCCTGCCCTCGAACAGCACGCGTTCTTGCAGGGCCGCTGGCCTGCCTTCACGGGAAGGGGTCTACTGCAGGGCAGGAGGAGGCCGGCCCTGCCGACCGTCAGAAGCCTACGTTTGTGTCCCGCCAGTCTCGGAGGTTGATGGACCTGGGGGTACCTCGTCCTCCTCCTCCTCCTCCTCCTCCTCCTCCTTCTCCTCCTCCTCCTCCTCCTCCTCCTCCTCCTCCTCCTCCTCCTCCTCCCTCCTCCCTACCGACGGGCACTGCATAACCATATCATTAACCATCATGGGTTTCGGTCTTCGGCTCACGTCGTCACCGTCACGTGCTAGACCTCCGGCTCTGGCCAGGCCCCGGGCCCCTGGAGGGGCCTCGGGGCCTCGTGCCCTCCGTTGCCGCCCCCTCGACCGCCGCCGGCGTCGGGCAGTTCCTCCCGCGCGCGCATGAATCGGGATGCTGATGGAGCAGTTCCTCCCTCGGGATGCTCCTCCCTCGGGGCGTTGATGGAGCCGTTCCTCCCTCGGGATGTTGATAGAGCAATTCCTCGCTGGTCGGGCAGTTCCTCCCTCGGGATGGTGATGGATGGACCTCCTACCCTGACACGTCGATGAAGGAATCTGCCGTTCTCGGTTCGTGGGAGGGCGTCGCGGCCGTCCTTTTTGCGGGTCCAGGTCCGTCGGTTTCGGCCCCGGGCCGTTTTCACTGAGGGGAGGTCTGCTACGGGGAGGTTTGTCCACCGCCGACAGTCCTCAGCGAACGAAGAACGGTACGAAATAAAGTTCTCCGCCGTCGAAGACACCTGCCCCTGGGCGGCTGGAAAGTTGATGCCCCTACGGTGCCACCGTGAGGGTATAAACTTTCCAGCCGCCCTGGGACAGGCGCCCCCGACAGCGAAACAAATTATTGTATACCGTTTTTCGCCCGTTAAAGTCCTGCTGCCGCGCGCCCGCGTACTTCACGTTCGGCTGGGACGTGCTGGGCTGCGCGGGGGCGCTGGCCGTGGACGCGGCGGTCGTGGCCGCCCTGGCCTGCGACCTGGCCCTGTGGTGCGCGGTGCACGGCGAGGGCCTCCCTCGAGGACCAGCGCGCGCCACGCCGCACGAGCAGCACCTCTCGGAACTCCGGGCGGACGGCGGGGGCCTCCTCCGAAGACGAGAAAGCGGCACGCGGCACGAGCAGAACCCTTCCGGAGCTCCGCGCAGACTTTTTGCAGCGGCATTGGGCCTCCCCTGGCGGCGCTTCCGGCGCCGCCCCTGGTGCGGCCCCCGACGGCCGGAGGAGGAAGAGGTGCCCCTACCTCTGCCCCCTCGTCCGTTTTCCCCTTCTCCGCCGTCCTGGGAGGCCCTCGTCGCCACCGCTGGATGCGCCCTGAAATTCTTGTCAGAACGCACCCGGGGAGAGGTCTGAGAAGTAGCGGTATCGGTGCATTTGGTTCCCCTGGGCGGGGAGGGGGGTCCGGCGCCGATCCAAGAAGTCCGACTTCATTTGAGATCCAGGCCGCCCTGTCTCCTCCTCCTCCTCCTCCTCCTCCTCTTCCTCCTCCTCTTCCTCCTCCTCCTCCTCCTCATCATCAGACTGCCGGAACCCTAGAACCTTTCTTTCTGCGCCACTTTTCGGGGCGGATCGGTACCGTGAGGCTTCTGGTGCCAGGAGCAAGGCGAAGACGCCCGGCTCGAAAGAAACAGAGGCGCCCCAGGATCCCAGGGGAGCGCGCGGAGCTCCAGAGGCTTCTGCTCGTGCCGCTTTCTCCTCTTCCGTTCGCGTGCACTGCCCAGGGCGCCACGCCCGTGCTGCTGGAGGGTCGTCCGGCGGGTGGCCCTGGTCCGCAGCGGTTGCGTGCCGTGCCCCCGCGCTCGTGGCGTCTGGTGCAGGCGTGCGCACTGGCAGCGGCCCTGGTGGACCTGCTGGTGGCCGCTGCCCGTCTTCCGCGGTGCGGCTGGCGGCTGATGCCCTACTTGCGCGCGTTCTTCCTGGTGTGGGGGGCTTAGCCTCAGCTGATGTCTCCAGCGCTGGGGGCGCTTGGTTGTTGAGTCTTCCTTTCTGTGAGACAGTTCCTGATCATCGAAAGAGCGTGTTCTACCGCTGCTGCCGGCAAACCAGGGGGGGCCACTGGGGGTTCCCAACCCGTCCCCCCCCCCCCTTCGAAAACCACGGGGGGGTCACTACCGGTTCGAACCCCCCACTCCCCCCCCCCATCATGAAAAGGGGGGGGTCACTACCAGTTCGACGCCCCCCCCGCCGTCGGGACAGTGGGACAGTGGTGGGGACACTGAGACAATGGTGGGAACGGTGGTGGTGGTGGGGACAGTGGTGTGGGGACAGTGGGACTGTGGTGGGGACAGTGGGACGGTGGTGGGGACGGTGGTGGTGGGAACAGTGTTGAGGGGACAGCGGGACAGTGGTCGGGACAGTGGGGACAGGTGGGACAGTGGTGGGGACGGTAGTGGTAGGGACAGTGGTGAAGGCGGTGGTGAGGACGGTGGTGGGACAGTGGTACAGTGGGGAGAGTGGTGGGGACAGTGGGGACAGTGAGACACTGGTGGGGGCACTGGAGGGGACAGCGGGGACAATGGTGGTGCCAGTGGGACAGTGGGGACGGTAGGACAGTGGTGGGGACGGTGGTGGTGGGGACAGTGGTGAGGGCAGTGGTGAGGACTGTGGTGGGACAATGGGACAGGGGTACAGTAGGGACAGTGGTGGGGACAGCGGGGGCAGTGGTGGGAACAGTGGGACAGCTCAGTGGGACAGCGGCGGGGACAGTGGGACAGTGGGGACAGTGGGGACAGTGGGACAGTGGTGGGGACCATGGGAGAAGTGGGGATAGTGGGACCGTGGTGGGAACAGTGGTGGGCACAGTGGGGACAGTGCGACAGTGGTGGGGGCACTCGTGGGGACAGTGGGGGCGGTGGTGGGAAAAGTGGGGACAGTGGGGGTGGGGACGGTGGTGCTGGGGACAGCGTTGGGGGATGTGGTGCGGACGGTGCTGGGGACCAGGGATTCGTTTGCCAGCGGTGAGGGGGGGGGCGTTCGAAGCGGTGGTGACTCCCCCAAGTTTTCTGGGGGGCGTTCGAACTGGTAGTGACCCTCCCCCGGTTTTCTGAAGGGGGGAGGTTCGAACTGGTTGTGACCCCCCCCCCCCCGGTTTTCCGGAGGGGGGGGGGGGGAGGGGGTTGGGGGGGAGGGCCGGGGGAAGGGGGGGGTCCAGCATGGGGGGGGATTTTCGAAGGGGGGGGGAACCTCGGGTTCCGGAGGAAGAGGGGGGGAATTTTCCATAGTAAAGCGGCGGTGGATCACGCTCTCTCCGATCATCCCCCTTTCTGGCGCCCACTTGTGTTTTTCAATCGAAAGGCCCTTCCGTGCTTTTTACAAGGGAAGGTCTTGCGCCTCAGACTGCGCCCCTAGCCTCTGGTTTACAACAACAACAACAACAACAGCGGCTCCCGCCTGATGCTTTTTCACAATCTTTTCGAATCGCGCCCTCGCGCGGAAGTTCCGCACTATTGATCCAGGATTCGCGCTCTTGCGGGGAACAATATTGCAATTTATTGCGGCGCCGTGCCCCAAACACTCAGGAATCAGGCTATCGCTTTGGACCTCGTCACGATCTTTTTGGGAATCGCGCTGTCGCTCAAGAATTATTCACGATTCACGCAGGACTGATGCTTCAGCGATCCGCCTGCTTGACCCGGCCCTCTTGGCCCGCCCGCCCGACGTGCCCGTTAGGATCCGCCCGCCCGACCCGCCCGTGTGGTCCTGCCGGTTGTATTCCTGCTCCCTCCAACCTTCTCATCTCTCTCGTGCTCCATCCTTCTACCTGCCCCTTGCCTCTTCCCTCCTCCCTCCCTTCCCATGTTTTTTTTTGCGGCTTCACCAGTTACAGGCGGCAGGTAATGAAGATATGCGCCCAAGGGTGGTACGATCGAAGACGAAGAGAACGGGTATCGAGGTTTTGGGATGTACATGTTGACTGGCACGCGGTCAGATAAGAGCGAGCAGTGTTAACATGATTGTTGTTTGACTGCGAATCTATAACTATCAGGCGCCCTGGCGCTCTCGCCTCGGCGCCGGCTGCGTTTACTTTGACATTGATGCTCATGCTCGAGCGTTTCGGGGTTGCGCCCGAACTGGCCACCCAGCACCAACAACACTCCCTCGCGATATTTCCTCACAGGTTGCTCCAAGAGGCCCTGACCAGACAGGGCCCGAGCCTCAGGAAGGGCGCTCTCGCCTGAGACTTCCTTGCAATAGCACCACGGGAACGGCCGTTCTGCTCGAGACATCCTTGCCATGTAGCACTACAGGGAGGGGGGTCCTTCAAAACGAGGTTCCTGCTACTCGCGGATTCCCGCACCGCCTTTTCGCCTGGGACTTCTTCGCGCTTCAGCACCACAGGGGGTTCCTTCAGAGTATTCTTGCTACTATTCGCGGATACCGTTACGGCTGTTAATTTAATATTTTTTGCAACTTAGCAGGACAAGGGAGTTTGTCAGAGCAGTTTTGCCATTATTTGCGGAGGCCCCAGGGAGCCATCCGTCTACTCTTACCTTGTTTCAGGGGCTGCGCCAATTACACGCGGCAGGTAAGGAAGACATGCTCCCGTGGGGGTACGATCGAATACGAAGAGGACGGGTACCGAGGGTTTGGGACATTTATGTCTGTATCTATACATATGTGTATACATACATACATATATATATATATATATGTATACACACATCTCTTGATTGACAATCGAGCAGATAGGAGAGCACAAACTTGAACATGCTGTTGTGCTTTGTTGTTTAGGTTGTTGCTATTGTTGTTTTTGGTGTTGTTGTCGTTGCTGTTGTTGGTGGTGGTGATGGTGTCGGTGTTGGTGTTGGTGTGTGTGTGTGCCAGTTTTCAACTTTTCGTCTTCGTCCAACCGTAACGAAACAGACACGGTTGCCCAACATATACACAAACTTGGAATTCATTCGGATTCGAACCGAGCCCGTCGCGAACGATCTCCCCAGCAATTGAAACAAACAGCTGGCTCCCAACCAACAACAACCGATCTGGATAACGTGAAAGCAATAGCCAGGGCTGGACCTAAACGCTGTTTATTGACTTCGGATGTGTGTTCGTTTCTCGTTTTGGCGGGGAGGCACAGGAAAAAAAGGTAGAGCACAACACGAAACCAAAACGAACAACAACGCTTAGGTCCAGCCCTGACAATCACATCTAAGGTCGGGCGACCCGGTGTTGCGCAGGGAGGTCGTGAGCTGCCTGCGCCTCATGCCCGAGTTCCTGAAGGTGCTGCTGCTCCTGGCCACCTTCGTGCTGCTCTCTGCCTGGCTGGGCGCTGTTCTCTTCACCATCGACGGCCCCGAGGGGAGCTACTTCACAAACTTTGCCGTGTCCCTGTGGTCGCTGATGGCGCTGCTCGCCACCAACAACTTCCCAGACATCATGATGAAGGGGTACACGACGAATCGGGCCTACGGCATCTTCTTCACGGCGTACTTGGTCCTCGGTCTTTTCCTTCTCCTCCAGATGGTCATCGCCGTGGTGTACAACAGCTACATCCGGCAGCGGGAGGCCGACCTGAAGCTGCAGGCGGCGAGGAGGCAGCACCTTCTGGCCGAGGCCTTTGGCGCCCTGGACAGCAGCGGCCGCGGCTGGCTCGAGAGCGGCGATCTGGACGCGCTGCTGGCCGCCCTGGGCGAGGAGAGTGGCGTCCACCTGCGCGACGAGGCGCGCCGGGCCCTGGTGTTCGCGGTGCTGGACGCGGACGGGTCTGGGCGCGTGGAGCCGGGCGAGTTTGGCGGCCTGGTGCGTGTGCTCGGCCTCCGCTTCGAGCCCGAGCGCCGCCCCTGGCTCGAGGCCTCCATGCCGGAGCTCTGGTCGCGGTGTGGCTGCGACAGGCTGGGCGAGATCCTGGGCGGGCGGCGGTTGGAGCTCGCCATCGACGGCATCCTGGTTGCCAGTGTTTGCGTGACGTTCGTCCAGACGTGGCCCCTGCTGATTGGCTCAGAGGATCAGAGGCTGAATGAGTTCACGTTGGACAACGTTGTGGATCTGGCCGTCACCACTGTGTTCCTCATGGAGCTCGTTCTGAAGATCGCGATTCTGGGCTGGCACACCTACTGGGTCTCCTGGAAGAACCGCTTCGACGCCGTGGTCACCGTGGCCGCCGTTGGCGCCTTGGGGTACGTCGTGATCCCGAACGGGTATAATGATTACATGCTGGTGAGGAGCGTTGTGCTGCTGAGACTGTTTCGGCTCTTGCGGCTACTCGCGGACGTTCCAGCCTTCGCCACGGTTCTGGCGGCGATGGCCGCCGTCGGGCCGGGGGCCAGGAGGGTTCTGCCGCTACTCCTGTGCGTTATGATGGCATTTGCTGTCCTCGGCTGCGATATCTTTGGTGGCTGTATCACCAATGACCCCGGCATTTCTCAAGCGAGCCCGCTCAGTGGCACGTCGTTTGGCCAGAATGGGTACTACGCGCTCAACTTCAACGATCGCCCAGGTGGCATCGTGACACTCTTTGCGTGCCTTGTCATGAACAACTGGAATGTGTACGTCGAAGGCTTCGCGGCGGCCTCTGGGCCAGGCGCGTACGCCTTCTTCACTGTCTGGTGGGTCGTCGGCAACCTGCTGGGGCTGAATCTGGTCACGTCGGTTGTCCTCGACGCATTCGTGGACAGGCGAGCGAAGCGAAAGCACGGGGCCCACTGCGCGGACACTCGCGCGCAAGCTGACCGTGCAGGGTCGCGCGCAAGCACCCTCGTTTCCGGTGCAGCGTGCCGCATGGGCGACCCGCACAGGTCACCGCGCAAGGTTGTTGCTCCTCCTCCTCCTCCTCCTCCTCCTCCTCCTCCTCCTCCTCCTCCTCCTCCTCCTCCTCCTCCCCCTCCTCCCTCCTCCCTCCTCCCTCCTCCCTCCTCCCTCCTCCCTCCTCCCTCCTCCCTCCTCCCTCCTTCCTCCTCCCTCCTCCCTCCTCCCATCGCGCGTAAGACCTGGTTCTTTTTGCCACCCAGGTGGGGCGCCATGCACAGCGGGGAAGTGCCAGCGCTGGAGCTGGCTGGCCCGCACGGGGTAGCCTTCGACGCGGGCGTCGTGAGCGGCACGCGGACCGGCCTGAGTGGTCGGTGGACGGTGCGAGCCGGGCCCGGCCCCGCGTCCGGGTTCGCCGCCGCGCCCGGTGAGCTGCGCAGGATGCTGGAGCCGAGCCGTGTGCGCGAGCCGCCACGCGAGGCGCTGCAGAAAGGGCTCGCCTTCGAGAGGCCCAGACCTTCGGGGCGGTGGGAGGAAGCGTCAACTTCTGGCCCAGAAGTCGGGGGCGGAAAAGAGGGGGGTGATGACTAGGGGGGGGGGGATATCATGGCGAGGGCCATGATATCTCCGCAGATTTCATGGCGCCTCTTCTTATTTCATTACGTCCCAGGCCCCCCCGCTGGGCCGCGCGCATGCCGCCGGTCATGTTTTGCACCCCCCCCTCTTGGACACCCCTCTCCTGGCCGCTCCCGAAGAAGCTGGCATCCTCTCCGCCGCCGCCCGCCGAGGAAGTGGTGCCAACCTCCTTTGGCCAGGAGTTGGCACCTCCCGGGCGGACGGCGGCGTACTGCCGGCGAGAGGCGGCGGGCGCCCCACCGGGGGCGGCTCCGCCAGCGGACGCGGCCGGCGGCAGCAAACATTTCCCCCTCCTCCTCCTCCTCCTCCTCGTCATCCTCCTCCTCCTCCCCCTCCTCCTCCTCCTCCTCCTCCAGCCCTTCGGCTCGGCAGCACAGCAGCGGGGCGTTCTCTGTATAATGTAGCTCACTTACCACCTTCCATGTCTGTCCTTGTCCCCTTGCAGTGAAGGACTGCTGGCCACTCACGTGATGCTCCCTCTGGTCGCAGGCAGTTACAACCCCCTCCGCGCCAACAGCGAGGATAGGGTGGAGGAGATCTGCCGCCGCACCGCCTCGTTTGACGTGCGGACGCTGATCGGCACGAAGGTGAAGGCGGCGGCAGGCGCCCCCGTGAGGCGCCGTCAGGTTGCCATGCCTTTGCAGCAGTCTTCCAGAACTGTCATTGAAGCTGGGTATAAAGTCGGACCGTACGTAACTAGCTATGCAGGCGTTTCGGTCGTTCTGGGACCTCGCTTTCGGGATTCTCACGTCGTTCGAGTGGCTACACCACCTGTCGAGCTTCAGGGACGAGGACTCCTGGTTCGTTTTAAGACGGGGCTCTGGGATATTAGCTGTATGGCACTCTACTATCCCCCTCGGCCTCGGGATCTTGCCTCCATGGCTGGTTACCAGACTACATGCGATCGGCTTACTGCGTGGTGTGCTAGTCAATTGGCTGCCTTTCATGCACGGACGACGCCGATTGTAGGAATGGATTTGAAAAACGGGCTCGGTCTCGTCTATCTTGCGGGCAGGGGATGGGTCTATGATGATGAGCATGTCGTTCCTCGTACCAATGCTAGTCAAGCACATTATGCTGGCATTGCTTTTGGGGAGGTATGTCGTTGCATAACCTGTGCGCTGCAAATTGTGCTCGTGAACGCGTCCCTACTTTTTATGGGCCAACTGGTAGCACTAGTACTATAGACTTTATCTGTTTGCCGCGCCCTCTGGTGGAATGTATGTTTCACAGCAGTCCGTTGAGGAGGGTTAGCCGCGAGCTACAACTTATCCCCGCTGCTAGGCCTGCTGATCAATTGTTGATCATGGCCAAGACGCAATATACCCCCTCTATGTCTCCTGTTGCGGCACGGGCACGTTCTCTGAAGTGGGATCGTGATTTAATTATGCGGTGTCTGCGGCGCGGCGAACGTCGTGCTGAATTTGTTCGCGCGCTTCACCTTCGTCTGGAGTCTCAAGAGAATGCTCTCACCGCTCTACTCGATCGCTCCACTGCTGTCGAGTTTTTTTTTTTTTTTTTTTTTTTTTTTTTTTTTTTTTTTTTTTTTTTTTAAAAAAAAAAAAAAAAAAAAAAAAAAAAAAAAAAACACAAAAAAAAGGAGGTGAGTCAGCTTCTGATGGAGGTGGGGCAGGAGGTCTTTAGTAGCAGTGAGACTGAACAACAGCGGGCCTATCGATTAGAACGGGAGCAGTTGCTGGAACAACGGCGACAGCTCCGATTACTGCTGCTCGAGGTTGGCCCGACTTACGTTGAGCAGGTACAGAGTCGACTTCGGGAGGTCTCTCGGCTTCATCGCCTCTTTCGTCGCCGCGCTATGGAGGAGTGGAGGGAGGCTTTATTGGAGGAGGTTCGGGGGCACTGGCGTCATCGTCGGCTTGCTGAGGCTTCTCGCTTGGCTCGTCGGGCTGCTGGGTCTCGATTCGGTCCAAAACGACGTGACTATGCCTCGATCCGTGGAACCGTCGACGACTCTGTTGCCCTGCGCGAGCTTTTCAGTTTACCAGGCCCTCAAGGCGGCATGGCTGCCCAGGTTGTGGAGGACTGGTCTACCTGGCGTGCGCAATGGATTTCGCGTGCACCGCCCAGCGTTGGCCTTTCTGATGAGGATGCACGGCGCGGTCGGCGCGATCTTCGTGCCATTTTTCGCCGGCTACAAGTAGCTGGTCAACGACGTGCTGTGCCGGAGTGGTCGCCTCCTCTTGAGATGCGGTGGTTGGCGTTTTTTTGTCCCTCGGAAGAATTTATTTCAGATGTCTACGGGGCTTGGTGCTGAACTATGTCCGCACTCGCTGGAGAAATTTTCGAGGTCTTATCGTTCTGGGCCTGGCCAAAATCCATAGTTGTGGGCAGATCCCGATCTTCTGGAATCGTAGTCGTGGCGCTCCCCTTCCCCGTCCTGATGGACAAACACGATGGATTCACCTCCTGGACCCGTTCGGCAAAGCCTGGACTTCTGTGATGATGGCCCAACGCGGCCCGCTTCAGGGCACTGACCAGGATCATGGGTTTTTACGTCACCGTCGTCGCGAGTGTGCGCTCATGTTTCAGGGGGTCACGGGAGACTGGCTTAAGAGGCGCGGCTACGTCTTTCTCACGAACGCTCACGACCTGACGAATGCTTTTGCCAGCAGTGCACGTCCATGCATGGAGCGTGCTATCAAATATTTGTTTTTGGAGTCGGCTGTGAAGTACGGCCGTCAGCGCGTGCGCAGTGCTGTCGTCACGCCGCGGGGTCATGATACTGATCTTCATCTCTCGCCTCAGAGTGGGGGTCTTATGGGGGGCGAGTTCGCGGTGAACGCGTTTCTTCGTGCGCTCGTTCCTCCTGTCCAGAAGTGGCTCGATGCCCATCTTCGCTTTGACCTGCAGGCGTTAGTGCTGTGCCCTCGCTTGCCTGTCCTTGTCGACGGCCGCATTGAATTCAGTGCTGAGCGCGTCAACTGCTCGCTTACCAAGTATGCGGACGATCTCGCCAAAAAGCTTGTGCTACCTCGCGTGGCGGAGCCTCGGGATCTGGTCTGTCTCAGCATTCTGTCGAATGCTGCGCTGGACGGGTACCTAGCAGAGGTGGGCTTCTCTCAGAACCTAACTAAACAAGATACGCTACTACCTGTGCAAGGTCAGGGCTCAGCTCATTTTCTTCGGGGTCTTAAGTCTGGACAGCTGGTTGTCTCTGGGAAAGCGGTGCAGGCTGCTAAGAGTTTGGGGGGCCTGGATGTCTAGTAATCCTACCAGTTCTGAGGCTGAGCTTGTATCTCGTATCAGTGCGGTTCGGCAGGCGTGGTATCAGATGGGTGGATTCTGGACTCTTCGGGGCCTCCCTCATCGTCTTCGGCGCTGTCTTCTAATCCCCACAATCTACATTGTGGCTCTCTCTGGGGTGGAGGCTTATCTTCCGAGTGTGCAGCAGGTTACCCGTTTGCAGAATGTTGTAGCACAGTATGCTCGCAAGGCTATGCTTGGTCAAGCTGTGGACTGGGCGTCTGCGGCTCATCCTAAATCCTTGTCCTCGGAAGCTGTACTTAGATGGTGGCGCCTCGTTCCCCTGGAGCTCGAGATTCGTATACGTCGACTTCGTCTCTGGCAAAGTGTCGCTAAGGTCCCTGGAGCCCATCGCCAGCTTCTCGCTTGCCTATTCGGGTCTTTTGGATCGGATACATATCATGTGAATCTGTCTGGAAGGTTGGAGGGGGAGCTCTCGCCGTGGACCGTGCGTATGCGTGCTGGCATTGATAGTCTGGCTTCAATTGGTGAAGGGGCCTATCTGCTTGAGCGGCCGGAGTTCCGCTATTTTTACCTTTTCGCTGAGCCTACATGGGCTGAGGAGTTTTGCACGATCGATGTTCGACAACTTCGTGCTGCTGCTCTGTCTGTGAGTGTTCCTCCTCCTGGTGTGTCTTCTACTCTCAATGTATCTGCAGTGGGCGGGGGAGTGGAGGTTGAGGCTATGTGTAACTGTATGATTGTAAATGAGCCTGGGGAGGTTTGTGGAAGAGCTTTGCCTGATCGAAGAGCTCTGCATAAGCATCTTGTTAGTCATCGTGGATTTCGTGCCCTGGCCATAGTCGTTACCGTGACTAATCAGTGCTGTGTATGTCTGTCCACCTTCGCTCATCTTGAAAGCGCCCGACGGCACTTAGCTAAGAGCATAGTCCGAGGCAGATGTGACAGAGATAGCACTCGTAACTTGGCTGAGGCTCGTGTCCCATCGTCGCTGGCTTGTCCTCTGTGCTCTGTCTCGGCCGGCGTTTGGTCCGAGCTTCAGGTGCATCTACGGTCTCACCTTGATCCTGTACCTTCTCCACCTGATGGAGGACACACCGGCGTGGATGTTGGCCCCCGCACCGGCCGCGGCAGAGGGCGCCGAACAGCCGCGACACAAGCGTGGACGCGCAGAGGAGCTCGTGTCCCAGGCGATGGCGGAGGGCAAAGGCGGCGGCGGCGCTCTGAAGGCGCTCGTCATGATCTGGGCGAGGCTGGCCCTCAGCAGCGCGGCCGAGTTGCGGGAGCTCTGCGGCGTGGTGTTTATCACCTTCTTACTGGGCGCAGACCGCGCCGTGGCGCAGGCCGCCAAGCAGGCGGGCGTTCGCTACCACCAGGAGGCCAAGCGGCGCAAGGCCGCCAACGACGCCACTCCTATGGGCCCGCCGTTCGTGCAGGTGTGGGTCGCGCTCATTCGCAGCATCGGCACTCGGGCGGGTCTCGCGCCCGAGGTCCAACAGGTATTCCAGACCTACTGGAACGACTTCATCTTGAAGAACGACATCGACGCGGTAGCGACCAGCGTTCGAGCTTGCAGGCTCCGCCCGACGAGGAAGCAGGAGGGGAAGCCCAATCCCATGCGCCTCACCTTCGCGGTCGACCATCAGTTTCGCGACTGAAGTACCTGGCTTCGATCGGCGGGGTTCGCAAATACGGAACGGCTCCCAAGGGGGCCTTGGAGAGAGACGCCCAGAGGCTGCTCGACAAAATGAAGGGCAAGCAGCAGTAGACGGTGGCTCTGGGCTCGGGCAGGTGGCTCATGAAGTCTCGTCGGGATCTATGGATGCCAAGATTCAGTTTCTTTTGATGGCGGCTCGGTCCAACAGAGTATCCGGTGATGATGTACAGTCTCCAGGTGATGATTAACAACATGCCATCAGTCAACATTCTCTGGTGTGTCCATCTCCTGCTGGGGTTATCGCTCAATCGTCCTCTACTGCAAGACCTGCATTTACAGATTTTGGTCACGAGAGTGGTGCGCATGATGGGGCTGCTGTTTCTAGTGGTGTATGTGTGCCTGGGGATTCTCATGATATATCACAGTCTCTAATTGCAGGTGTCAGTGTTGGTACTACCTCAACTTTGCCGATGTTTTCGACGACTAGCGTGGACCGTCCTACAGCTTCTACTGGGTCTTCTCGGAGGCCCTCCACGACGACGGTACCATCGACGATCTCATCTCGATCTGAGCCCGTAATAATTCACGACAGTGCGCAGTCTCTCGGGGTCCGTCCTGGGTCTTCGGCCTCGGCCCTTGGTCGATTCGAGGCCCCTCGATCTCCTCCTTCTCGTCGTCGCCCTCCTCCTCCTCCTCCGCCCGCCTTTCGTGGTAGTGAGCGCTTTCTAGAACTACAGCGTCGTGGTACACTCCCCTCTCCTGCCTCGGGATCCTCGGGGCAGAGGCCTGGGGCGGTTTCTGTTGCGGCGCGTTCGGCCACGTCGAATCTCTTTGCTTTAAGGGGGAGTGCCCATGATGCTCAGTCTACCTTTGTAGCTCAGGCCCGCGCGAAGCCCGTGGGTCGGAGGTCGCGGGGAGTGGGCTCGAGGGGGCCTGCCTAGTGTCCTACGAGGGGCTCTGCTGTGGGAAGGGGTGGTGCCATGAGTCGCCCACTGGATATTTCCTCCACGGGGGTCGTCTCTAGGCTAGTGCGTTTTCCCCGCCAACAGGGCCTTTCATGTGGGAGGTATGCTCTTGCAACACTTAGATCCAAACTATTTAGTCTCGTCGCTAGGGAGAGACATTGGGTCCCAGAGTTCTTTGCTTTGCTTTGCTTTGCTCCTCCTCCTCCTCCTCCTCCTCCTCCTCCTCCTCCTCCTCCTCCTCCTCCTCCCTCCTCCTTCTCCTCCTCCTCCTCCTCCTCCTCCTCCCCCTCCTCCTCCTCCTCCCCCTCCTCCTCCCCCAGCAGGGTGTCCGAAACCCGCCATGTAGCGGCTTGCTGCCCCGACGTTCGGACGTTGTCGGTCCAGCGCGCGCCAGCGTGCTCGAGGGTGGGCCGACATGCGCGGGTGAGGTCATTCGGGTCTCCCCCCTTGTCGAGCATTTTTTGCGCTTCGCGTGTCCCCACCATTTGGCATGTGCACACGCCACTGCGGCCAATTATCTTCGTTCCGCGCCCCGGACGTTGACCCGCTCCTAGACCGTCGCCTGGGAGCCGCCGACCAAGAAAGTTTCCCCACCAGTCCATCCAGAAACGGTGTATGGGCGAGTTGCCGTTTTCAGGGAAGTGTTGTCGGATCAATCCGTGGAGCAGAGAGGGCATCAACCGTCAAGCGGAAGGTCGGGATTGGCCTGGGCAGGCCCAGGAGTCAAGCATAAGTGCCTTCGTGGATCGCTCGAGGTGGGAGCTTCTTGGCGGTTCTTCTAGGCTTTGGAGCTCTCTTGGGATCTTGGAGGCTTTCGATCAAAGAGGGGGGGGGGTGAATTTGGCTACGTAAGAAAATCAGAGGAGCATGAAGTATTGATATTAATAGTTATCAAGAGTTCCAGGGTTTCCTGTCCTTTCGCGCGGGCTACAAGGACGAATGGTCGAGCGCATTCCGTCGCGCAGGTTCTTTGCGTGATGTGCGCGGCACATTTTTCGCGCATCGGAGCGCCCTTGGAGATACCAAACTGCATGCTGTGTTGCTCTTGGGGGGTCCGCGAGTCGCAGCTGCCGTGGCGCTGTTTTCGAGGTGACCCCTTCGAGTGCTGTTCGCGGGCGCAACGCGCGGCGCGCGCTGCGCCCAATCGCGCCCGGCGCGGCGCGTGAATCAGCCAGCCGCGCCCGTCGGACCGCCCGGAAATTATATATGGCTTGTAGAATGTTTCAGAAAACGCTCCCGCTTTTTTGGCGCAGGCGGTTCTGGAATTTTTCACAGAGAAGCCCGGACATTTTCAAAAAACAGTTTTGAGGGGTGGAATGCGCCCGCCGCGCAGGACATCAGAAGAATTCTGAAATCCGGAATTTTTCAAAATGGATTGATTCCGGAATTTTTCAAGTCGAATCTGGTAATTTTCAAGAAGTAGGCCGGGCATTTTCGAAAACGTTCCCGGGGTTGTTCAAATGTACCCCCGGAAACTTTTTCCAGAGTCGCGCGTGATTTGCCATACCAGGTTTTTGGAAATTCGCCGAGGCGCGCGGTGCGCGGCGGCGGGCGATGGGACGGTGCGCCACCGTCCCCCCCGCGCTCGGCAACGAGAAGGGGGATCAGCAAGGGCCAAGTAGCCCCTTACGGGCGACCACTCGATTGCGAATGGGTGACCAACCAGCGGCGCCAGCTAGAGTAGACAATATTCCACACAAAGTGTACCCCGCGCGAAGGCTGCTAGAAATACCCGAATCCCCGGAACGTATCAATAGCACGATGTGTCCGTATATTTTTCTCGTCCTAGAAAACGGGGTCGGCTGCGCCGACGTTGGCGCGCGCGTAAGCTGCCCGCGTGAGGTGGCGCGTGAGCGCCCTCGCTTCCAGCGCAGCGTGCCGCGCCGGCGGCCCGCGTAAGCCTCCGCGTGAGGTCGCTATGTGTGTCATCTCGCGTAGGACTTGGCATCGCTCGGACGTGTGCATTTTTCCTCCGGCGAGGACCATCGAGGAACATCCTCGATCATTTGGCGAAAGAACCGCGCACGAAACCGAAAACAACACAGGCAATGGACGTCCGAGCGATGGCAATAGGACCCCTTCCTTTCCGTCTCCGCATTAGCGTCGCCCGTTGCCCCTCCTCGGTCCCAAAGGTCGCCGCTCGGGGCCCCCCTCGGGGCGCCGCTGTCGGGCGGGGCGCGCTCGATGCGCTCTTGGGCGTTCTCGGGGCCGTCGCGAAGCCGTCGTCGGCCCCTCTTGGGGCTATTCCTGGGCCATCTTGGAGCCGTCTTGAGGTGCCGACGACGTCGACGACGACCACGACGACGATGGACGACGACCACGACGACGACGGACGACGACGACGACGACGACCGCGACGACGACGGACGTCGACGTCGACGGGGACGACCGACGACGACGACAGACGACGACGACGACGACGACGACGACGACGACCGGCGACCGACGACGACCGGCGACCGACGACGACGACGACCAACCACCGACGGCCGACGACCACGACGACGACGGACGACGACGACGACGACGGACGACGACGACGACGACGACGACGGACGACGACGACGACGACGACGACGTCGACGACGACGACGGACGGCCGACGGCCGACGACCGACGACCGACGACGGCCGACGGCCGACGACCGACGACGAGCCCGACGACGACGGCGACGAGTTTGACGACGACGGAGCAGAGCTGGCTGCCCCCGAGCCCAACGGAGCGCTCCCCCTGCGCCCGCCGCCCCCAGGGCGCGCGAGCGGCGCCGAGTGGAGAAGGAGGCGCAGGCCGCCCGCCGTGCGGCGCGCGAGCTGCAGCGCCTTGTGGCGCAGGCCACCAGGGTTGGGCCGGGCTCGTCCTCGTGCTCCTCGTCCGCTCCTCGTCCTCTCCTCGTCGTCCTCTCCTCCTTCTCTTTTCCTCCTCCTCCTCCTCCTTCTCCTCCTCCTCCTCCTCCGCCGCCTCCTCCTCCTCCTTCTCTTTCTCCCCCTCTTCCTCCTCCGCCGCCGCCTCCTCCTCCTTCTCTTTCTCCCCATCCTTCTCCTGCTCCTCCTTGTCCTCCTCCTCCTCCTTCTCTTTCTCCCCCTCCTCCTCCTCCTCCTCCTCCTCCTCCTCCTCCTCCTCCTCTCCTCCTTCTCTTCCTCCTCCTCCTCCTCCTCCTCCTCCTCCTCCTCCTCCTCCTCCTCCTCCTCCTCCTCCTCCCCCTCTTCCCCCTCTCCGTAGCCATTTTGGCTCAAGCCCATTTCTCTCGAGAGGTTGAGAGAGAGAGAGGTTGGGCGCGCGCACCTGAAAGGGGCGCAGCGCGCCCGAGCCCGCGGCGCGGTGCCCATGGCTTGGTGGTGCCCAGCGCGGCGCTCCGCGAGGCCTGCATCGGCACGGTCCTCGGGCAGCTGGGGGCCCAGTTTATCACGGCTGGCGTTATGATGTTCCAACCTACTCTAGCCTTGATCACCAGAAAGAGTCTCGAGTGCCAGAAACAAATATCGAAACTCTTGCCTGACACTGTTTCGACACTGTTTCGACACTCTTTTGACGCTTTTCTGGGGGCCCGAAATGGTTTTGGGATGCGGTCCTTAAGTAGGATGGGAACAACATAAGGCTGGCGGCCAGTCGGAGCTGGAGGTCGTGTTCACCCATGAGCTCGACCAGCTGGTCTTCGACGCGAAGGGGGGCGAAGCGACTGTGGGTGCTGTCAGGCCACCCTCCTTCACCACCAAGGGTGCCCACCTCTCCGCCGCGTCGGCGGAGGATGGAGGATGGGCGCTGGATTCCGGTGCCCCCGCAGCCCGTGGCCAGGCAGGCCCCGTGGCGCAGGGTGGCCCAAGAGCTGGCCAGGGACTCCCTGCGGGGCCTGATCCTGCAGAATCGCCAGGAGTTCGAGGCCGCCAAGACGAGGGGGTCATCGGAGCCTGCAGCCCAGGCCTGCTCTGCGGCTTCGGCGGCCAGTGCGGAGAAGGCCCCAGAGGCAGTCAAGGTCAAGATTGGGAAGTGCTCGGACCCGAAGTGCATGTTCAAGAACTTCGGGTTTCGCGAGTACTGCCGGATGTGCACTGCAAGTGCCCCTCCTCATATCCTGGAGTGGCACTCGGCGATCCGCCGTCGGGCGATGCAGGGAGTGCAGCAGGAGCCGAAGGAGGAACCGCAGGGCGCCGCCAAGCTGAAGGTGCAGCAGGAGGGCGTCTGCACGAAGGAGACGGAGGACCAGCTCACAATGAAGGAGAGATTGATGATGCTGGCCGCCGAGAGGGACACTCTCAGGGCGATCAGTTGCCAGCTGGAGGATGAGAACAGGTGCTGCGCGCAGTCGGTGCTGGAGCGCAGGCCGGACAGTGTTCTGACTTCTCACCCCGCTGCTTCTACGTCGGAGATGGTGCCTCCCAAGACGAAGAAGAACAGGTGGTCCCGCCAGCAGGACAGGGAGGCTTTGGTGGAGAGCTTGGTCGCCCAGGTCGATGCGGCAATCGAGTAGAGGATGGGCCTCACAACTGCAGGAACGTGCTGGACTACGCGTTCATGTTGTGGAGGCGCCAGGTCGTCCGTGACCTCGGCTGTGTCTCTACTGGCGGGAACGCCTACGATTTCAAGAGGGGAATGGTGTCGCCGAGCAGAGCGCCTTCTGGGGCCTCGACACGCTGGGCAATGGCACGAACAACCGGGAAGACGAGGAGAAGGATCACGGGCCGAATCCCGTGGGCGCAGCGCTCTACGGTCACGTCGGCGGCGGAGACCTGGGTTCTGACGTGTACGATCTCGACGACGACACTTGGCATCGCTCGGACGTGTGCGTTTTTCCTTCGGCGAGGACCATCGAGGAGCATCATTGATCATGTGCTGAAAAAAAAACCACGCACGAAACCGAAAAAAGACACAGGGAATGGACGTCCGAGCGATGGCTAGCGACGACGATGAGTTCACAAGCGGCATCCCTGACCTGTTTCCGGTGCCGCCCTGTCCCTCCTTGGATGTCGAGCCCGACGTCGTCGCCGACAGCACTGTAGCTGGTGCCGAGGACGGCGACGAGTGGACCGGCGAGCACCACCGAGAGAACATCGAAGAGTGCGGGGCACTCTCCAAGGACTCGGGCAGCAGCCCCCGACGAGGCGAGTGCCACGGAAGAGGTCGGAGGAGGAGGAGGAGGCGGAGGAGGAGGAGGAGGAGGAGGAAGAGGAGGAGGAGGAGGAGGAGGAGGAATGCGATGCCTGCCATGGCCGCCGACTGGTGAGGCGCCTCGTGCCTGCAGGCCGCGCTGAGGTGCCCCCGCCCGCACTTCTCGTCGCCTGCTGGCTTCGCGGCTTCGCCTCGTTTTGGCCCCCGGGCCGGCCTTCCGCTCGTGGCGGGTCGCCGCCGCCGGGCGCTGTTCGAAGTACTTCGTTCTTCCGCCGCGCTGCGGCTCGTGCGGCGGCGTGGGCTCCCTGCCATGGCCCCCGCTGGCCTCCGACAGCAGGAGCAGCAGCGGGCAGCCTGCCAGTAGGTCTTCGCTGGGCCATCGGGTACGACATCCGCTGCTCGGCATGGGCGGGGCTGCGTGGCCAGTGTCGTCGGGCTCAGTGCTCGGCATTGCGGCCCGTTGGGGCTTCCTCGGCTTGCATGCCAGCGGTCATTGAACGACCGGTCTCATCAGAGCCCTCAGAGCTCTCCTTCTCCTCCCCCTCCTCCCCCCCTTCTTCCTGCTCCCTCTCGTGCCTCTCCTCGTCTTCTCCTCCCCGTCCTCCTCCTCCTCCTCCCGCGCGAATCCCATCCAATCTCCCAAAGCGTCAGGATGATGGCGGCGATGGGTCCTCTTTTCTTCTTCCAACGTTGCTACGCTGGGATCTTCAGTAGTCGGAAGTATATGCGGGGCCAAGCTCGCCGTACCTGTGCTCGTAGGTCTGGACTGCGCCCCCAGCTTCAAGATGGTGTAGGCGGGGTCAGTGCCTTTCACTGCCAAGTGCGTGGTGAGGCAGCGTCCTGGCCATGGGGTTCGTAGTGCTTGTGCGTATCCCCGTCGTGCTTGTAGTAGGGTATGCGGTGCCATGCTGTGGAAAGCTGCTCCATACCGTAGTGCTGCCATACTGCCCTGCTGGGTGACCCCAGCTCTGCGTCGTATTCGTAGTCGCCGTAATTTCCTTCCCACTGCAGAAAGGCGCTTCTGGACGCCCATCCATCTTATTCTATGGGTAGCCCTCCTTGTGGATCCTCCTCGTGCTGATCGATCCGCTCCTAGGTCTCAGCCTTCGCTGGTGATGCTCATGTCGACGCCTCTTTGCTGCAGGAGTCTCTGCATTGATAAAAAAATCGAGGCAAGGCAGCAGAAGTCCGAGCACTTGCTGTTTTATCAGCGCACGGACAGTCGTTGCGAAAATACCGGTTACGTGCGGACGGCTGGTGCAAAGCCTGCCTGGAAGACAAACCTAGAGACATCCTGGAGCTGCTCAGGCTCGTTTTGGGAAAACCGTTCGTTTCCAAACGGCGCTGCACAGGGGCAACTCACGACGCTATGATGAATGATATCTTCTCTATGTCCACACTGGCATTGGGGCTCCGTAAGGTACCCTGCTTTTTGGAGGTGCGAATGGGTCCAAACACCTTGGCATTGGAACGAATTTGGGGTGACCTCCTCAAAGTCCGAAAGCTGGTTGGAATTCAAAGCCTCGGTCGCCGCAGGGACGTCTAACTAGCCGTCCAGTCCTAGCTTGATGGTCGCCTGCCCCCGCAACCGCTGCATCCAAGCCTCTTGGAGCCAGAACTAGAGGAGCGAGGGGGAGGTGGTCGTGAGGACGTGAGTCTGGCCTGACTGGTCGAACATCGAATAGGGCCCTGAGAAATTACATTCCACTCTGGCCGCACTTAAAATCGCAGCACCGAACGGTCCTCGGCATTGGCTCCATCTCGATGGAGGGTCGTCGAGCACTGCAGCGGCCATCGCTCGAAGACCCGGTAGGTTGAATCCTGGGGCGAACTCACATGTCATGGCTCTCCAGACTAGGGTGGACCACACTAGAATGTGACTCACACCTGGGCGCCAGCAAGAGTCCCCGAGGAGGCAGAGTGCAAGCGAAAACGATATGGTGGTAGTCCCAGGGCCCGCTCTCTTCAAAACAACCTCCGAGACAACCGACGTTCAACATCATCTAGGCCAACCACCTCGGCTCCATAAAACTGCGCTTGCCCAAAACCAGTGCCATACAGCCTAACGGTATTTCCACCTGCTCTGTGAACAGCTCGGAATTGGGGGACCCTGGCTTTCAGCTTGGTGCATCTCTCCCGAAGCTTGCTGCTGCTGATCTCGTTACCCCGTTTTTGTCCTGCTCGAAAATCAATTCCCAGGTTTGCTGCATGAGGCGGGGTGGATCCTGAGTACCTGCCCCCTTGCTTCAAAAGCTCCTGCTGAGTATCTAGAGACGAGGCTAAGACCACTGATTTGGCCACCGCTATCTCGCACTCCAGGTCGTGCTGGATCGCAAACAAAAGACTGGCGGCCGCTCTCCTCAGTTCCGCGAAGAGGGTGGCCTTGCACCTGTGGGAAAAGAGGAGGAGCATATCGTCAATGAACACGTGTAATGAGACTGGTACAGTAGAGGTCCAGATGCACAAAGGTTCCAAACAATACATCTGAACTGAAAACGTGGCCACACTACAGCCCGCTGGGATCCCATTGGAGGTGTATCCTGCATAGGAGGTATGACGATTTAGAGTAATCATGCGCTGGCGCTGATATTGGTTAATGATTCTGGCGAGGATGGCTCCGTTGAATCCCGCTCCTAGGGCTCGCTGATATAGTTCAGCTCGGTTAACTTCGCAATGGTTAATAAGGTCCCACCTGATAGAGACCGCGTGGAGGGAGCGAGGGCGAGGAGGAGGAGGAAAAAGAGGACGAGGAGGACGAAGAGGACGAGAAGGAGGACGACGACGAGGAGGACGAGGAGGACCAGGACAAAGACAAGGACGAGGGCAAGGAGGACAAGGAGGACGAGGACGAAGACTGGCGGAGGAGAAACTGCTCCGACCCGCTCGCCTCGCCGCCGACCTCCGCAAGCTCCATGGCCGAGGTCATTGGCGGCAGCAATATGATACGGCACTGCTCGAAGACCAAGCTGGTTGCAGGAAGAGCTTGAGCCAAAATGGCCACGTGCGGAGAGGGCGAGCAGGACGAGGCGAAGACGAGGAGGACGAGGAGGACGAGGACGAGGGAGTGTCCCCAGCGCTTCTGAGGGCCTCCTCACGCCTGGCCTACGGAGACGGCTCAGGGGGCAAGCACAGCGCAGACTGGCGATACAGACTTTGCGGGTGGGCCTGGATACGCTTGGGTGGAGTGGGCATGGATATCACCGCGGGCAGGTACGGACCACTCCCAGGTAGACGACAAACCAACAACAGAGCTGAAGTGTGGGCCCTACTAGACTGCCTACGAAGCACATCAGGGCAACTACACTACTTGACCGACAGCGAGATCGTCTTCAAAGGTTGGACAGGACGAAGATTTGAACAACCAGCCGAAGCGGGGGCCACCGGAGACCTGTGGAAGAATATCGAACAGCGGAAGAAGTACACGTCTTCCACATCAACGGCCACCTCAGTTGGGGAGACGCAGAGGCGAAAGGATACCCGAGACACGCATGGCACGGAATCGCGCAAGCAGACAAGTTCGCGGACATAGCAGCGGAACAGCAAGATATCGACAACACAAATATGCAGTGCTACAAATGGGTGAATGCGACAGCTTCTTTGGTGAGGAGACGTATTTTGACAGCGACGCAGCTACTCCTGGAGAGACGGCCTGCTGAAGAGCGAGACACCAAAGTACAAAGACGAACGCAGAAGCGAGCAGAAAGAGCCCAACAGAGAAAGAAAGCCGACTATTTCGCCCACGGTCCACCCGCACCTGTCGGACGCAGACCGCCCACGACTCACCAATTACGTCACCTGCGACGAGGGAAAGGATGGATGTGCAGCCAATGCCAGCAAAGCGTGGGCACGACTACCGCATGCTCGAGCATCGCGTCCTGGTTCCAGGAGGGATGCGAAGGACCACCGCCCCGACATGGGGACAGAGCTGCAGATGCACGGCAACACAACGCACCCTACGCACAGACTACAATTCCTAAACAAAGAGAAAAGATGGCACTGCCAAACATGTGGCACGACGGCGATGGAATACATATCCCAGAAGATGCAAGCATAATGTACAGGCGCACCGACTTACGGAAGCCGGCAGCACAAACTGAGGAAGTGGACCGGGATTGCGCAAGCTGACGGAGATGACAAGATACCAATCGCCGACGCCACGACGCAGAAGCAATAAGAGCCACAACCGATAGAAAAGACAGATCATACAGCCCATAAAGACAACGGGGCACCGCCGACGCAGTGCACGAACACGCACGTTGACAACGGACTTCTCAAGCAACAAAGCGACGCACAACAGCTTCACAACCACGGCGACCAGATTTTCTCAGAAGCCCGAAACGGCAGAGAGTGCAGAAGAAAGACGAAGAAGCTGGACGCAGCGCCTCCTCGCTGCAGCCAGCGGGGGAGCAGACAAGCAATAATGCAAGCCACTCAACGTCATCTACGAAGCTGACAAGAGACAGTTGCCGCGCGAAAGAAGACCAGAAATGCAAATCAGGCAGCATAACATGATGGGCCAGCACGGCAAGCGGCGGGTTGCTCGGGGCCCCCCCCCGAGGGAGCCGCGCGGGGTGCTGGGGATCTCGGGGTCGGAAAGAGCGCACCG